CAATGAGGTTGCTTCTTGAAGGTGGACCACATATACTAAGTACCACCTGTAAAAACCAATAAAATGGTCATCAACCAACTATATCAATGGCCTTTAGTCTGATGCTTATATTGGGAAAAGAAGTACATACCTGGAGTGCATGAGTTACTTATCCTCACTGTGACTTCAGCATCTTTATGGTATAGAGTACTTACGTATTCCACGAAATGATCGAAAACATATCTGAGTTCTTCGTCTGTCTGTTACAAGTTATATATAAGCACTACTTGCGAGTACATCTCAAATTAACCTACTATAACCATTTGCAGTTAAACACTTTCATTAAGATTTGGCAGGGGCCGCACGAACGCATACCCCCTTAGAAACAAAATTATGACGTAGACTATCCCACTTGGGGATATCTTAGGCCAGCACCCCTCCTGAGTGCAATGGAGGTCACTAACCTAAGCCATGAGCCTTCTTGATCGCCCATCGACCCTGTCCAGGTAAGTATGTTGTATTGTTGGCTTTCCTTTCATTTTATACATCTACGTCTTCGTACATATAGGCATATCTTACTAATGTGGGACTATCAAGTATCCTACTAACAATTATCGGGTAGATCAATAGCACCAGCAAGTATCCTATTAAAAAAGATGTTCGCATATCACACTTCTGGGTAGATTTCTAGTCTACAAGTTAAGACAAAAAGATGATAGTCTTTCTCTGCCATTTCTTAGTTGCAAAAAGTTCATCTTAGCATCTCAATTGTCTATAATATCAAGCCAAAGCTCCCGAGGAATGTATCCTGATATGATTTTCCATGTTATCAGGGGTAAGTCTTTGAACAAACTCATGGCTCAGGCTTCCCTTGCAGCTACAGCAGTATACTGGTTGTGGGCAGAGAGAAACAGGTTAATGTATGGAGAGGACAATGAGAGTCCCCAACACTTGTTTCATTTGATTACAAGGGATGTTTCTATTAGATTGACAAGTCTGATGTGTAGTGTTTCTTGCCACCTCTTCATGAGGAACTTCAATATATTGAAAGAAATGATGCCGGGACGTTGATCAAGGAAAATTTGATACGCAGGGCATTGCCTCAGATGATACGCAAGGCATTGCCTCAGATGTTTCTATTAGATTGACAAGTCTGATGTGTCACCTCTTCACGAGGAACTTCAATTTATGTATGAAATGTTTGATACGCAGGGCATTGCCTCAGATGATATTAAAAAAAATTGCTTTTAGGGGGAGTCTATTACAATAGCTTATTGTTGGGACTGGCAGGCATCACCCTTGCCTTGCACTACGGCAAGGGCATGCATGCGTAAAAGAAGTTGAGCTACTGGCAGTTTAGTGATTTGAATTGCATAACCAACTCATACAAGGCAAGGGGTGCTCGCCTTGTATAACATATTTCCATTGGGTCCTAAAGTGCATTCCACCTTAAAATTATTATTTTTCCCTGAAGATATTTATTTTA